GATGGTTAGAGAATTCTTTTGAATAGTGAATGAATCTTTGACTTTGTTATGAATTTGTAATATGTGCTCTATTCCGTCAAGTTAGAATGCTTCTGACCTGTGTTAGTCATTCACCAACCTTTCTATGCTCGCTAATATGAGCACGAAAGCAAAAGCATATAATGGTATATTGGTTTCATTGTTAAGTGCGCTATCGCTCTCAATGAATATCCTGTTCGGACATCTGTTAGTTTGGATGTTTTGTTCAGAAGCCAAATTCAAGGTCGGAAGTCATCGAGCGCCAAAATCATACTGAAGCAAAATTGTGAAGCCGAGGTCCTCGAATGTGCGACAGGTGGACATGATGCAACTGAGGCGGAACAACTATAGTCATGACAGACTATCCTTTCCCTTATATCGTAATGTCATAAGTGCCTGTACCGGCAAAGATCAAGGCGACTTCTGTCCTGAAAACTGTTCCAATAAATTCGAGAGAAGAGTTGAAGCTTACGCATCATTAGTTTTTATATCTGTTAGAGGTTCATTCAGTTGAGGATGAGACGATGTCTGCTCTAGCGGCTAACGAACAGAATGAAAGAGCGATTGTTTGATTTGAGAAAGTAATCACATATTAGGAGGATTAATTAGAACGTCAAATGGACTGACAGTTAAAGTCTGGAAAGACGATCGGCTTTTTGAGTGAAATGAGTAGAAGTTGGTGTAGTCGTATTCTTCATGTCAATCATGTTGACATAAGTGTGTGAAAAAGCATTGATTTCCTTCTTATTTAGAATCTTACGTATCTAATAACCATCGCATACGGAGACTAGGGGTTCCAATTTTGATGTTTTGACTGTCGTTAGGGCTTTGTTGAATGGGGTTGAGTAATGACTAGGCAAGTCTGACAACTATTGTTTTAACAGACAAAAGAGAGTTTATTATTAATAATCTTGTTCGTAACAGTTTGATCTAGGGTCTCTATTCCCATAGCTGATGTCATCTAATCCTCTTGTTTATAAGGTAATCCAAAAGGTGACAAGTGAGATATGACAAGTCATCTTCAGAATAACATTGCGTCCTCTCTTATTTCCTTCTCCTCTCTATCTCTTCTCACTATTAGTACTGTCTTCTTTCTGATTTTGTCAGCACGTTTCCTACCCGATCCATCTAATCTCCAACGCCAATCCAGACTGCCAGTTCAACAGAAAGGTGGAAAGTTACGATGAAATAAAAAAAGAAGGGATCGATAATAAAAATAAAAAGCTAATGGACCAGCGATCAAAGGGATTGTCGACGAATGCATTTTATTCATAAAAGAATTTTGTTTGAATAAACTCACAGATATTTCGAATGAAGAAAGAAGCGAGTAAAGGATGTAAGAAGTATGTTTTGTCTTAAAATAACTTGAATACATCTTATATTTATTTTATTCTTTATAAGGTGCAAATGCTATTAACATATCAAACAATAAATATTAGAAGAGAAGGGACGAGTTGACAATGGTCAGACTATCTCTCACTATCTAAGCGGATTTTAGCTTAACTATTTAGATGAATAGCAAAGGTAACGAAAGAGAGAGAAAGTTAGGGAGAGGGAGGACAGATTAGGAGATTGGGAGGACGAATGAGTCATTGCATCATTCATAAGTTATGATTAGAAGAGCTTAATTATGAGATATATTGTCTCCAACAGTTTTCTCATGCAAATTATAGAACAACAATGAGTTGTTTCTATTGCTGTGGCAAAAAACCATAAATATTCTTTTTGTAAATGGATTTTCAAAGAAAAGTTTGACCAAATCCTAATTGGTCAAGGGTCATGGGTCAGCCGGAGTTTGTGTTTCTCGAAGAGAGGTAGAGAAAGAAGTGGGGGAGAGAAGGTAAAAAATGCTTCACACTCACATATGTTAATGGTGCCATTAATCAGGTTGTCTTACTGAAGAAGAAGAAGAGAAAATTCAAATTCCCTATGAGTTTTTCGTTCCTCTTCCATCATTCATCATCGTCTCTGAAAAAAGATGTACTTTGAAGAGAATGCTTTTCAACTTCTTCAAACAGTGTCGTCATCTGTTTCTTTTGTTCTTTTTTTGTGTGTGTATGTATGTATGAAGACCATGAGAAAATGGATAGATGAGGAACTCCTCAATAAGGTTTGAAAGTTTTGCTCGGAGAAACGCTAGGGACAACTAGCATTGAAAAGGTTATCAAAGCTAACAAAATCGAAACGATTTAGAACTATAAACTAGCGTTTACGAGCTGACTGTTTTTCAGTAGTAGTTGACCTTAGTTTTTTGTGAGTTGCGTTAGTGAGGGCGATCTCCCATAACTGTTCTTGTTGGAACAAGGAGGTAAGACTGCAAAGGAAGAATGGGCAATAAAAACAAAGCGATAAGAACAAAAGGCAATTTGCTCGAAACGAAAGATGCGCTTTTATCTTTCAGATCTTCACTTTTGTCACTTCTGTTGGCGTGAGAGAAGGTGTCTGAACTTCTAGCAGATTATTGTCCCACTGAGCCATTTATCAACCTCTGAGGTTTTCAAAAAATAAGAATGTGACGGCTGATTTTTGGACTTTCGTTATATTTGAACATTTCTTATGTTTTAGTCATCTTCCTTTTTTCTTCTCTTCTCTAAAACAAAAACCCACGGAAATTTACAAAGAGGTCACAAAACAATAGAGTTAATTAGATACAGTATTGGAGAGGAGTTTGGAAGAGTAGAGCCGACGTGTTCTCAAAGACGTTCATAAATCTCAAGAAGAATACAAAAGAAATCCCGCCATGAATCCTCGATTACACCAAGTGCTTCTTTCATTCAACCCTAATCTTAACCTTATGTACTCTCAAGTATCCAACAAGCAGTAACCTTTTGAAAGAAGCTCAATGATCTTCTGGCCAGGGAGGGCATGTTGAAGTTATTTCCGTGTATGGCACTAACTATGCCATCCAGTTGAATCCTAGAAATTCTCCAGTAAGAATAGAGAATCAATGAATTGAAAAAACATATGATAATACAGAAGAAGTCTGTTAGAGACTTGAAGTGGAATGTGTTAACAAAAACACTGAGGCATCAGCCGAAACCTCTGGGAAATGAGAAAATGGGCTTATGCATCTATCAAACAAATCTCTCAAAAAGTTTTAATCCATTACAGTCTATTGTTCGTCATTAGATCATTATCTGCTGCCATTCAAATGCCTTTTTCCGCTTCATCTAATAATCTTCGCTTATCTACAAATTTGTGTCATGTGTTCTCATATAGATCCTAAGAATCGATCAAAATTTGTCAGAATGGCGATAGCAGAGGGACCGTTCACACTCGAAATTATCAACTTGACCGCCAGTTTGTAAAGCTTTACGATCAAAGAAATATGTTTGAAAATAACAGCAAATACGCAAAATTCCGTAGTTTAATGTTGTAACATGAGAAGAATCTCTGTTCATACCGCGCACTCTCATTTTCATGTATTCTCTCGTTTTCCCACGTAACTTATGCATAACTCTCACGTTTTTACGTGGAAGCGCCGGGCAGAACATTTTTTATTATCATTGCTTCATCTGCGGGAATCGGTCGTTCTCTCGTAATCAGTGATAAAAAGACGCCGTTGGCAAACGGTACGTCCCTCTGTTTTGATATTTCAATTGCGAAATCGAGTTGATGAGTGTGTTTCGTGTAATTTTTCTTGTTTGTGTTGGTACAATCTCTTTCACTATTCTACATTAGATACTTACCTATAATTGCATTTTAAATGATTATCAGTTCAATCATTCCAAATGAGTGAGAAGTCCAGCAAGTGATACTCTTCTCCGTTTTCTGTTATAATTTTGAATTTTAAGACAAAACATCCAACACTTACACTTAATATTGAAAAATTATGGGTTTTCCTATTCTTTTGCGGACCAGCCAGAACTACTGGAAGAATGTAGAAGGTTCATGTTGAAGGTAAATTGTCTCAGATAATCTAGTTCTACTCCCCATTGAGTTCAGATTTTTCACATGTGTCAATTCAATGTGAAGACGCCTTTGGACGAACCAATATTTGTGAATGACTGCTTTGTAAATGAATGCGCAATACCTTTTGAGGTAACCAGCCATTTGACATCCATGTCCTAGCATCACTTTTACAGATAACTGGATACAGTGGTGACAATATGTCTGCCAGTTTCTTTGACATTGCAAAAGCTGTTAAAAATAACACTGAGCTCATGGAAGCTTATCAATGTGTGAGCAAAATAAACATACGTTTTGCGAGTGATCGATGGTTTTCGAAAGTCCTACGGTGATTAGAGCTCATGTCTACAATTAACTTCCATATTAGGTCTGCTCATCAGAACGTCTCGACCAAGTCATTATTCTTTGCCACAATTGTGCAATATAATTTCTTCGAACATTGGTCAGTTAAAAGCAAGGAGCACGTAATTTTAACGGATTTTGAGTATGATAGAGAGCGGATTTTCACCAACTTTTACCAAACTGAAAGTTGTAGATTGATTATTCTGAATGTCTTAATGAATATTTCAGCAATGAAAGTCCAAAACATTCAACCCCGCAGTGGGCAGCGTAGGAATCGGCCAGTGGGGACAGTAAATTACCAAATTACCGTATGTAGCATACTGTTTATTTTGTGATATTCTATTTTAGATACCCTTCAAACATGTTCGAAAAATTCTAGTGGATGAATATATACACGAGAGTTCTTTTTTGATACATTTCGTACTCAGTTCACCTCCCTTCGTGAATGTGACAAAACCAAATGGTTTAGCCACTTCAAGGTAATTTCAACATTCAACTCATAGATGATATATTATTCAGAAATATCTTCCAGGTATCGAACAGTTTTCATATTTAAGCCACATGACGAACGTCGAGTTCATTTCAAAAGCTCTCCAAAAGCCCTTACTGAAAGTCCAGTTTTTACAGTCGACATCAAATCGAGCAGAGTTAGCACACACCAATAATTCAAATTTAACATTTTTATGTTTTCGGAAGAAGTGTACATGATTCTATCAAAGCTGTATTTTAGAATGAGAGTGCCAATAGAATTTTCTACAGTGATCGTGGGTGTTGTCGACGTTAATGAGTTGATAACTTCTTTTCAGCATCAAACGATGACTTACAGCACGTCTCAGAGTCCCTTCCTAGGGGAGCATAACGATAATAAACCGAAAAAACATAGAGGTTTTGACCATGGTGTCATGCTCGAATTACTTCAGTCGAAATTGAAGGATTTGGTAAATCTCACTTCTTTACTGTTACTATATTCCTCTCAGACATATCGTAAATCAGATTGTGCTGCTCCTTTATTAGATCATCTTGTGACCGAATGTATCTATTTGGTGGAGGCTCTGCTTTCAAGGTACGATCAATTTTCAAAAGTTGGGTAATTGCTGTTCAAGAGGTACAATAGTAAAGTGCCAACTACTCGGACGTTCATGGCAATGGGTGAATTTCATGGAAAGGGTTAAGGAAAATTTCTACTTGAACAGCTTTGTGAGTCCTCCTTTCGAATCAGAAGATTATCGTTATGATAGGCATGCTTGGAAACTCTTAAAGAAATTCTATTATATATAGACGAGAATATCCTACTGGATTGTCTACATGAGGTATAAAATTTTTAAAAGTTTAAAAAGTTTCATGTGTTCCTTAATTAGACCTTTGAAAAACTTTTCAACAAAAAAAAAAGAGTACAGAAGAGTTTCGGACTTTCGGCTGAAGAAGAAAAAGAAGGATATGTAATGTTACGGAAAATTGTTATAACACCAACCCGTATGATTCTGATGCCGAGCGAGATGGTTATGGGAAATCGTGCAGTGAGGTCTGCTTCGAACAGCTCCAACAAGCATGACGCATTTTTGCGCATATCTTATAGGTTATTCTCAAGTTTCGTTTTATTACAATTTTTATGTTCGCAGAGATGAAGATGGAAAAAGACTTAATTATTGGAGGAAAAATCCCAATGTAGTAATCCGTACAATTATCGATACGTTCACCGAAGGAATTATAGTTACTGGCGAGTGGTTCATTTTCGAATGATTCAGAACTATTTTATTTTGAAGGTAAAAAGTATTACTACATTGGTGGCTCCTCCAGTCAGCAGAGGGAACATGGTGTATACTTCATGTTGGGAATTCTGGATTCACACGCAGCTAAGTTGAATTCACATAGTAGGGATCATTCATGTATGTATAGTATTCTGAAGTTCCGAAAAAAACTAGGAAGGTTCACATTTTTCTCGAGATAATTCAAACTTAATTTATATTCAGGTTCGAGAGCTTGAATAGTATACCGAAAGTGATGGCTCGATTAGGTCAATGCTTCACTCAATCTAGAGTTAAGATTCGGTGCAGATGCATTAACTGTTTACCATTTTAGGAAACAGTAGTGAAAATACAGCGGCATGAATACGAAAGGAGACATGACATTATCGGTGGATCAAATGAGAAAGGGTGAGAATAATACAAGTATATTCATGCAATATTATTTCTCTAGTGAGCCATACACATTTTCTGATGGAGTCGGTACAGTAAGCTGTGAGTTTGCTGATAAAATGACCTGTGACCTATCGTTGGATAGTACCCCTGGATGTTTTCAAGTACTCGCCTCATTCATGAAAAGATTGAAAAGTGGTTTCTAGATACGATTCAGAGGAATGAAGGGAGTATTGTCGGTAGATCGCTTCTTAGATGATAATGCTGCATGGTTTAAAGAACATGGGATTCAAAGTAGAGAGGGATCAGGTGCTAAGTTATGCATGTTCCGATATAGTCAAGAAAAGTGAGTGATCAGCTAAGCGTCCAAAATTGAAGTTTGTTCAGATTTGTTGCAAAGAGATACGATTTACAGCCGCTAGAAGTGGTGAAGCATTCTGGAGTCTCCTCTATGTGTCTCAACAAGCCTCTGATAGCAGTTCTGGACTTCGTAAGTTCTGAACTTGATATTAACGTTAACCTGACAGTTGACACTTTTTATAGGCAACTGAAACAAACAAAACTGTTCATGATAGAATCAGAAATCGTATTAGAAGTCTTTTGGATATGGATTTGAAAAATATTGCGAAGCAATTATCCTCAGATTTTCATTGTCGACAGTGTCTTCGAGTATGTTTTGCACTTGCGATTTTGCTATTCTTCCGTTACTTCCCAGAGCTTCCCTAAACGAATTAACATCGATTTGCTTGATGAACGTACAGGCTTGAATCTTTTCTTTGAGCCGTTTTTCCGAGGATTGTTGCTGGCTAGTGCATATGACTCAATTAGTAATCTATTATAATTTTTGAACTTATGAATCCCAATATATTCCAGCTAGACAAATGCAGAAGCTTCGAATAGCTGTCCCAAATCACTTAGGAAGAGGAATGATGGGAGTTATGGATGAAACGGGTTTTTTACAGTCTGGACAAGTAAGCTGACCCATTAAGCGAAAACCTTGATATTTTTTGAAAGGTTTTTTTCCAATATACGTCTTCATGCTCGTCATATAATCCAAAGCGTAATTGTGCCACCATTGTCCACACAGGTGTTACATGTGTTTGGTTTCATCTCTCACTCTGTAATATTTGACAGGTCCTGTTATGATAACAAAGAGTCCAACGATGGTTCTGAGTGATTTACGCTTGTTTGAGGCTGTGGATATACCAGAGCTTCATCATCTGAGGGATGTTATTGTTTTTCCGCAACATGGCCCGAGGCCTCATCCTGATGAGATGGCAGGTAACCATTAGTTTTTTTGAAACTGATTCGCACATTACAATGTTTGAGGATCTGATTTGGATGGAGATGAATACTCGGTTATTTGGGATCCAGAGCTAATGCTGGAAAAAAATGTTCCCGCAAAGTCATACATGAGCCAGTCGCCTAAATACAACAAGGAAACTACTAAACACGTTGACACTTCAAATAATGAGAACGTAACAGGTCCAAGTCAGCCCTGGGAAGGTTCTGAAATGGATTTAGAGAAATTGGTACTATTTGTTTGTTTGATTTCGGTTACTTTTCACTTCCAGAACTCATATTGTGCTGATTTCTTTGTCAATGTTATCACACAAGATGCTATTGGGCATATATCAAACTGTCACCTGTTCAATGCTGATACATACCATATAACTTCTAAAGTAAGTAGGATTATATAAAGATATCATGAATGTTTAGGTTTGCGAAAGTCTTGCCTCTAAAGCTGCAGTTTCATTAGATTTCGCAAAGACCGGCATTCCATCAGAAAGACTAACTAGGAACTGGACTAAAGGTGAACAGTCATGTTATATCCTTTTTTCATTTTTCATGATTTACAGATATAAATGGAAATTGGGGTCCACCTGAATCTGTTGAGTATTATCCCGATTACAGTAATAGTAGAACGTATAGACCCATGTATGCGAGTGACCGGTGGGTTGGTGAGCTATACAGGTTGTGTTGTGTGCTATTTCTGTGTTTCATTTCTTAATTTCTTTAGAGAAGTGAGAAAAATCGAAGAATACATTGCTGATGAATTGAAGGAAGAGCCTGTTATTGAAGTGTGTTACTCTGTAGATGTTTCTCAAGTGATTGTTTAGATAGATCATCTTATGGTAGAGGAAGGATGGGAGAGTTATGAAGCAGATGCGACGTTTTCGTTCAATTGCTATCTCAATGAAATACGGGTAAAATAGGTCTTGCAACTGATGTCGTAAATGGAAGCAATTTTCAGTCAGTGATGATCTCATATCGTATACGTTATGAATCCGAGTTGTTTTCCGGTTTTGTAAGAGATAACGCCCACAAGATGGGAGAAAAAGTTTGTTGCTGAACATAACTATTCATTTTTGTTATTTCTAGGGTACGGATGATCAGTCTTATTACAATATCAAGCAGGTCATCGACAAACGTGTTTCGAATATTTTCAGAAAGTACAGAGCGAGTTTCTTCGAAGTTTGTATTCGTTACAATGAGCTATTTCACGCAGTGTGACATTTTTCAGGAATTTGGAGGTTATAGACGTTATACTCAATCTAAATACCGTTATGAAGAGTCTACCGATGTTCTTAAACGGAATGTAGTTATATTCACTCCGGAAATGAAAAGAAAAGCCTCTGCTTATTATATGGTCGCCTATAGTAAGTTGATAAATGAATTCTTTTTCATAAGTCTTGATCACAATCTGAGTTTACATGCTTAGATCGGTTGCATTCCAATTAATCATTTATGTTGTAGAACATGCTTTGAGTACAGGAGAACGTTTCTTATCGTTCGGTTGGCTACTTTACGAGATAAATTCCGACAACCGTTTATCCAAGATTTTACAGTCACCCGATCACTTGTTAACTGAGGGTGTTCATACAGAATCTATTGACATGGTAAGAAACATAGTGTGATGAGAATCTATTGCTTTTTTGCTCAGAGAATTCGATCAGCCTGTGAAAAAGTTATATCGTCAGAACCCCAGAAATTCGAATCTTTTGCACTGTCTCTCAAAACAGATTTCAACTTAGAACAGTACTGTTCAAAGTACTCAGGTAAAATATCGTTTGTTTCTTTTTCTTTTGACTTAACCCATCAGGTCTCATGGAGATCCTATTTGCTCTACGGGAGTGGGCTGATAATTTGAAGTTACTTGATGGTCGGTTTACGGAAAAGCATTTAATGCACTTGTTCTTGGCGTTCAGCCTCAAACGCTTCGGTAACACCAGGACTACAGCTGACATTCAGTTTGAAGAAGTAATTTTTCATTCTTTTTTTTTTACATGTCTGAGCTAACTCAGATTGAGAAAACAGTACCAGTGCAGCAATTAGAAGAAGAAAAAGTAGTCTTAGAAGAACCTTATAAACTTTTGCTCTCTTTCTTTGAGTTTATAAGTTCTTTAAACTTCAAGAAAATAGAGAGTATCAATTTTTCACATACTGGATTCGTATCAGTTTTGACGAGGGGTGAATGGAAACCACTGCACGAAGTAACTATGACTAAATTATTTTTCTATCTACTCTTCATATATTTAGGAAGCTCTGAAATCTTATTATAGGCTACTAATATCTCTGAAATTCATAATCGTGCCAACCATCGAGGACGGTGACGTTTATGAAACGATAATCGATGGAAATCCCTTTTGCATGCTTGTTCCTGAAGATGGTAACTGTTGTAAACTGTTTTTTGAGACTCAATATCCGTTTTCAGAGCGCGATGAAATAGCTGGTATGCTAAAAAATGCTTCAGGTATCACAGAAATTTCAACTAGACTTATGAATGATGGTAGTCAGTTCTATTCTTCCGTTTTCTAGTTCCATGTTCCAGATACCATGGTGGTCATGGCTCGAGGTACTAGTAGTGCTCTCAGAAAACTTAGGGATATCGCAGTAGTGAGAGTAGATAAGTATTACTCTTCGTGGAAAGCTGAGGTAGAAAGCATACCGGATTCGCAAAGCCTATTTTTTCTTTCAGGAGCACGAACTGCATGATTACTTGATAAAGAAGACTATGGAAAAGTTAAAACCTTTTCGACAATTGTGAAAATTCTATAAAATTTATTTGATAAATAATAAATGATACATTTTCCTCCAGCTTTTGTGGGAGTCTTTTCCTCTCAATATTTTGTTTTTCCTTTTTGTTCTACATTTTTTATGAATAAGGTTCATGGGACGAGACCGTATTGAAGGACGCGTCAAGCTTGAAATACCTCACTCTAATCATGAAGTCCACAATATTCACAAAAAAATTCTGGTTCAGGTTTGTTTTGCATAATGATGAAGCTCGGTTATAAATGAATGTAGTGTTTCGATCAGTACCACTTCACTATCGATGATGGAACTTCTCATGAAATCGAAGAAATTGGTTGTTTGAAATTTATTGATGTTCATTATGTGGTAAGAGGATGAAGAACAGGACAGCACTGTATGTGTTTATAGATTGGAAATCAAGACTACAGAAAGAACTTCCTCCCAGCAATTCAGAAGTATCTCAATGAGCTTAGCAATGTTGGTCTTCCACACCATTACAAAGGAATTCTTACTGTTTTCAGCCCTGAATGTTTCGATCGAAGCCTCATGTACTTTCTCCCTTTAAACTCAGTAATCAACCATTTTTCTTCAGAACCGTCCTCGAGAAAATACCGACGTCGGCAGTTATGTTTGGTAACATCCAGTCAGGGGTTTTCATGAGCCATTGGGAGGTGAGCCTTTCCTAAGTTAGATGTTCCATCTCTTCCAAGGTGTCTTTCTCCGAAGAGCAAGCGACTGAATCGAGAAATAAGAAGCGGTTGCAAGATCAGATGTACACTGATTTCGAATTCGACAGAGCAGATATGATCGTGTGCAGTTTCAATACCCCTGAACGAGGTAAACCTTCGCTAAAAAAATGTTGTGTCAGATGCTACAGGTTACGAACAAGCTACCAAACGTTCGTTCACTCGCCATGCCAAATATAGAATAGTTGTAAGTACGAAGCATAAATTAACGAGATTAATGAAATTTCAGATTCAACGTTCATTCGTACGTCGAATAATAGTGGATACTGCAGTGAATGATTGTCACGGCAAGAATCGTATTCGAATGTATATTGAGTTGAACTGTCCTCCATTCATTAAGCGTAGTGAGGAAAACCAAGTATGTTCTGTCTTTGTAGGCATTATGACTTCTGTTTCAGTCGAAACAAGGATTACCTCCACGGTTTGATCGAAACACTACTATAAAGCGTGGAAGGTTCATTGGAGAGTATGCTAAGGACGCTGCCATTGCTGACAGTTCGTTTATAGTGCTTGAGTTCGGAACATCAGTCGAAGTAGGCTCTACTCTTCTACCACCTTCAATAAGCTAGTGCTATTTAGTTAGCAACATTGTATTCAATCATCTCGAGGTTACGTACTAGATGCCTAACACCTATAGAGTTCGCCACACTGCCAGTTATCAATTGTTTTCTTGGTCGCTATTCCCCTTATTACAACTGGCTAGAAGAAGGAGAGTGTCCATTACATGAGAATGAACCGTTTTTCAAAAGGTTTCTTGAACAAGTACGTGCAATTTGAATATAGAGCAATTCGCGCGCAGTTAGCCCTCGAATTATAATACCCGTCATTTCTCGGCGTCACCTACCACATCTCTGTCGATATTGATTTGTGGATATTGTTATTATATTTTGTTCCTTTCAGAACTTTCCCAATGACAAGTTACTATCAAGAGAGCAACAGCTCGAGAACAGTCGGAAAGCCTTTGTTATTCGTTACCTGATCGAATGTCTAATATCTCGGTAAAGGAAGTGATGATAGTTCTTAACCATTTGCTACAGAGGGGCAGTAGTCAAAGACCAGCTGTGGTTAGTTGAAAGCCATTGGAAACATTTTCTGAATGTGATTACGGTTCTTTTGCATGAAAACTTCGATGTAAGCTTTCACCTCATAACTACATATTCTCATAATGTTCAGATGTGTGAAATAGCCTTGGAGAGACTCGTTACTCTTCTAGATGAGCGGAAACGTGTTGGCAGCATCACAAAAGTACTTTTCATGACATTTCTTCCTTAATTATATCTCACTCAGTGTCTGATTGAGTTGTTCAGAGAAGCGACAATAGCGAAAAGCGAAGGAAAGTTCTTGGCATATAAAGAGAAAAAAGATGGATACAACCGTGTTCGGAAGGTATGAGATTCTGTTTTGTTTTTGGGCACGTTGGTTCCAGATCATCTTCACACCTACTCGGGTAGTTTATGTTGTTCCGGAAATGCTGATGTCAAACAGAGTCATCAGGAATTTCGACGGTGATGGTACAAAAGTTCTTCGGATACAGTTCAGGTGAGTCGGAATATTGTGGAGAATATTTTCGTTTTTCAATAGAGATGATGATAATCAGAAAATGAGACAGAATAAAACTTCAAAACTCTTGATTGACAACGCAGTGCGCAAACGACTAACAAATGGAGTAACTGTGGCAGGTGTTACTCTTATCTTTCGTTTTTGTTGAAACTCTTTGTAGGACGGGATTTCGGTTACCTTGGTAGTTCAAACTCACAAATGAGAGACAACGGGGCTTATTTTTTACTGAAAAATCGGAAGGTCGACATAAAAAAATATTTGAAGGTAGGTGAGAAAACTATGAATTTTGGAATAAAATATTTTTCCTCAGCAAAATAAAGACGCCGAAATTCCTCCAACGCTCTGTATGTATATACAGCAGGTACGAAACTCTTTGGGCAGGTAAAATAATAAGAAAATTAGTTTTCATGAGTTATTCTTGATAGATTCGATAACATCGAAAGTGTACCTAAGTATATGGCTAGGTTGGGACAATGTTTCACTCAGAGTAAGGTGATGTTGTCAAAACAGTTGAAACTGTAACAACGTGATTTTACAGGAGACTCGCATTCGTTTGGAGAAGGATACGTTAGCCAAAACGTATGATGTCGTGGGTGGTTGTGTACCAGAGAAATTGCTAGTTTTTCTTTGTGTATTAGTTCACTTCGTTCTAATTCAGATCTCCCTACACGTTTAGCGATGGAGTGGGAGTGATCAGTAAACAGTATGCTCAAAGAATAGCAACAGATTTCAATGGTTCTTCTGAAGGATATCCAAGCTGCTTTCAAGTTAGACTTTCTTCTTTTTCCTTTTCATATCTGTTTCTGATAGTTCCGTCTAAAAGGCATGAAAGGTGTCGTTTCTGTAGATCCATATCTAGACGAATTAGCTGCATGGGCTATCGAAAATGAAATTCCTAATTTAAAGGAAGATGAAGCTTGCTCCTCAATTAGAAATTGGCTCATTCACTGTGCAGTTCGTGACAGTCAAATCAAGTAAGCTGTAAAAACCGATTGTTTAATCGATGCTCCAGGTTTACGGGAACAGAATCAGCTCTGGAAATAGTTAAACCCTCCGCCCCAGTTCCAGTGGCACTTAACAAACCCTTCATCAATATCTTGGATCAAGTTAGGTTCTCTGTCACAGTCATGAAGAGTTTCCTATAAGCAGGTAGCTGAGATGCAGTCGTCAGATAGCCACACCCGGATAGTGGGTAGAATTCAGCAACTGCTCGATAAACAAATTCGTGGCTTTGCGTCGTCTTTAGTCTATGAGCACGATTGCCGCGTTAAACTCAAAGTGTGTTTTTTTTTCTCCTATTAACAGTGTTTTTTTCATAGGAGTTGCCACGTAGAATTGATATTGATCGTCTTCATCAAAGAGCCGGGTTCACGATGTGCGATGAGCCCTTTTTCCGATCACTTGTTAAATCAGCCACTAAATATGCCATCAGTACATCTAATCGGTTGAATTTCCTGTTATAGCTCATTTTATAGCTAAGCAGTTACGGAAAGAGCAAATTCAAATCCCTTATGAATTGGGAAGATCCATGTTAGGCATTTTGGATGAAACGGGAAGACTTCAGTATGGTCAGGTAAAGAAAGACACAACTTGAAGTACTATTTCAATTTTAACGTAATAGATATTCGTACAATATACCAAAAACATCCAAGACAAGTTTCCTACCATTCACGCTCCGAAGGCCGTTTTAACAGGTCTCTTCTATCAAATGATTTTGTTCTATTTCTTATTTGCAGGCAAAGTACTGATTACGAAAAATCCTTGCAATGTAGCTGGAGATGTGAGAGTTTTTGAAGCCATTGACGTTAAAGAGCTTCGGCATCTCGTCGATGTCGTTGTTTTTCCTCAGCATGGTCCTCGACCTCATCCGGACGAAATGGCTGGATCTGATTTGGATGGAGATGAGTACAGTGTTATTTGGGATCCAGATCTCCTTTTGGACCGTAATGAGCCAGCATTCGATTATACTCCAGACAGTAAAAGGATCGAGAAATTAGATGACGCTACATTGGTAATAGCCTGAAGAGAATGTTTCCAATTTCTTTTTTTTAGAATGAGAAAATGATTGATTTTTATTTAAATTACATGCTGCAAGATTCTGTGGGTGTTATCTCGAACAATTTCCTTCATCAATCTGCTTTATATGGAATTAATTCGACCGTATTTAACACCCATGCGCCTCACTCTAAAAGTTTTTTTCAAGGTTTGCATAAATCTGGCGAAAAAAATATCGATGGCTGTCGATTTTACGAAATCTGGTAAACCACCTCCAGCTCTCACCAAGGCCTGGACCTCAGGTTTCATTCAATTCTTTCTCATCAAAGTTGTTTTGTTTTCTTAATAGATCCTCAGACAAAAGAAGATATACCTCCGGAAGCTGCTGATATCATTCCTGATTATCACGGAGATGAGCACGGAAATAAGCCTGTTTACGTATGCCCTCGATTAATTGGGCAGTTATACAGGTTTTTCATGAGTGTAAACGAGAATAGGTATTATGCTCTTCAAGGGATATCAAATCTATTGAGGATGTTCTACGTATATCAGAAGATAGAGATGATCAGTTGAGAATCAAGGTAATTCCGATCCTTCTCATTTTGTCTAATATTGTTGCGCAGATTGACGAAAGCATATTCGTTGAAGGATGGGAGAACTATCGTGCTACAGCACTTCAAGATTTAGCGAAATATAATAATCTGCTCCGGGTTGGGTAAAGTTAGCTGTCTGTGTTTATCTAAGTTTCAGACTGTAATGGAGAACTATGGTATTCAGACTGAAGCAGAAGCCTTCTCAGGATATATATGCGAAATGAGAAATAGGATTTCTGATAAGGTTGGCACTATTAACATTTCTAAAGTAAAAGTGCTTTATATAGGACCAAGATGACATGAGTTTTTTCAACACGAACTTGTTGATCGAATCCAAGATTACTTCTATCTTCCGCAAGTTTCGTGAAGAATTCTTTGAAGAGTTCGGAGGCTGGAAACAAAGCACTCAGAAAATCGAAAAACCGTTTTACGATGAAGAAAACGTTTTTCATCGAGATTGTTCTAGCCCAACTCCTGAAATGAAGCAGAAAGCCGTTGCTTACTATAGAGTATGTTACGGTATGTTCAGATATTACGGGAACTCTTTGAATCATTGTCTCTGTTAGAACGCGCTGCGACCACGAAAGAGAAAAAGTTGTCTTTTGCTTGGGTGGCTTATGACATATTAGCAGAAGTCCGACAAGCTCAAAGTTTCCAAAAAAAAGAATTTCTGACTTCATCTCAGGCTTTAACTACAGTAAGTATGCTTCCTTGTTTCTCTCTCATATTTTCATAATAGATGATGGATAAACACAGTGAACTTTATATAGAAGAGAATGGCCGACAGTTCGAAGATTTCTGTAGAATAGATACTGAGGATCGTGCTGGCATAATTATAAAGAAATATCTCACGGTATATCCAGGTACGATATAGCAGCTCATCAAAGCTGGAGAAATTTTGTAGGACTGGAGAGAGCTATGTTTATCATCTGTGAATGGGCAAAAATACACAACCTGTTCACTGAACGGTTCAGAAGTCATCATTTGTGCCTTTTGTTCCTACAACATGGTAATGGAATTCTGCCATGTTTCAACGCAGATGCAACGAAGCCATTCATTCAGGTTTGGTTCTCGATTCCATGCATCAAAAGACGTTTATTTCAGATCCCTGTTAATACTTCTCTTGAGGAAATCGTGAACGGATCAATTCAGAAAGAAATAATCACTTCCAACGCTTCTGTTTTAGTTCCTTTCTTTGAGTACTTGGCATCGAGGAAGTTTTTCCAATTAGATAGCCTGAGCTTTTCCTTGATTGGACTGAGTTCTTGTTTCTTACGTGGAGAATGGCGTCCGATCCACAAAGTATTACATCAGTTCTTGTTGAAATATTATCGATATCTTCTCAGGCTGCGAGAAAAAGTTATTATAATATGGTTTTCAATTTGCGCTTCGAAGAGCTACGATTATCCTCTGATCCGAAACGTGACGATGCTATCATCAGAGAATGTGAGCCGTTCTGTATCCAGTTGCCGGGTATGATCATTTACGTACCTACATTGCAACAACTCTAATTCAGATCGCCTGTCTTCCCCCGATGTCGATCGTGTTAGGGATAAACTCAAGCAAAAGGCTCAGTTGGTTGATATAGTTTTAAGACCGCTCTCCCTGTCCGACGTAAAAGGAAGTAATGATTTTTGCTCAGAATGGTTGCATTCATTTCTCAATCACCTTGATTCTCAATTAATGAATGTCTCATTATAGGTCGATTCATGGTATCAGCGAAAGGATCTCTAGAAGCTATAGATAGGCTGAAAGAGCTTGTTGTTGTCAAACCTCACATCAAAGGAACTTCTAAAGGAAAGGGGATAATTGATGAGTTGACTAATTTGGTCTACAAAAAAATCATGTCTTAAATACGAGTTTGAACGAGTGAATAACTTCCAGATTGTTTAATCTCTTCCATCTTTTTGAAAATAGATATAATAATTTAATTGTTTCACTCTTTCCGCTTATTATTCATATGAGTCTCAGTATTCCAATTCAAAATAATCTCGGCTGTGGTATTTCAGCGAGAGAACAAGAGGGAGAGAGGTATTCCAATTTTCGTGGTTGCCCATGGATACATGTGTCACCGATATTGTACCAGTTTTTCGTATTCTTTTCGTAATATATTCTTATTTTTTTTAATTCCATCGTGTTTCACTTTTCTCTCATCTAAGGCTACTCTATGACATATTATGAGTTGAATAAACTAAGTTTTAATTTCGTTGACAAGATGTGTTTAAGGCGACGTTATGTCCATTGTTTTGCTCTGTCATTCAGAATGCCGCGATGTTCGATCATCGGCTCAATCAAATATTATAATTATCTATTACGATTTTGGGGACACAGAGTTGCGATCCTTGAAAGGCAATCAGCCATTATTTGCATTGAAGGACTTTTTTTTCAGAAGAAATATGCCGGAGAGTACCAGGTAATATCAGGAGCCTTGGACTGAACATTCATGGGAAGCGAACAGGGTTGAGGTTATGTTCGGAGACAGCTGAGGTTTTTTTCTTTCTAAAATCATCCAGAACATTTTGATCTTTAGGTCATTACCAAGGCTTCCTTACGTCCAGAAAATTCTGTTGTGCGAAAATTTTTTCGTTGGCTTCTCTTGGTCGGTGTCATAAAAAATCAAATAAATAAAAGTTTTTTGAAGGAGCGGATGAATGATGGAGCGTTTGTTGATTTCTTCCTTAACACTGCTTCCCTTCCTGATCAGAACAGCATTGTGTCTGCGCTACAGAGCATGACCAAGAAGAAAGTATGTTTTTAAAAAAGGCTCAAATTTTTACTATGCACTGGCGTCTCCCTGTTCTTTGCCGTTTCCATGCCAGCCATGCAGATAAAGCTCGGAGTTCTGCAACCTCTCAGATTCTCTTTATCTCCAACATTCTTTCCTATTTATGAATACTTTCACTCCATCTCAAATCTTCATCGTTAGTTCTGAGGTTTCAATCTATTCATTTTTCTATATCGTTGTCTGCTAATCATTATCACCATCACACATTTCGTTTTTCTCATCATTTTATCTTGTATGTGAGATTGCAGCCTCTGAAAGATAATTATTCACAAGAGTCTCGAGAAGGAGTATGCGACAGCCGTTAATCACATAATTGAATGATTAATCAGATTTTATTCGGCTTTATAGATTGCAGTTCGGTTTGTTTCCAAATTTCTCTCCACAGATCTACATCCACACAATAGGTTCGTTTCAGCTTTTTTCAGCCAATATCATAAACAATCTTTTAATTATATGTACTATTCGCTTTTCCCTTTCAGACGTATTGTTGAAGTGTATTTGAATATCAATCAGCTTCATGGCAAATCCGATGATATGAGTCGGGTAACGACTGCTGCCTCCCGTTATGAACGGATAAAAACCGTCGGAAAAGGTTCGTTTGCATGCTTCTTCCCCCAATCATTCATATCGTTCTAGGAGCTTTTGGTTCTGCTGTGCTGTACAAGAAAAGAGATGATGGCTCTCTAGTGATAGTCAAGGAAATCAACATGTACGATCTAGATAGTGTTCAACGACAGTCAGCCCTAAATGAAGTTGAGCTAAGGACTGATATCAACGTTGATTATTCTTTATAGGTTAATTTGCTCTCTCGGATAGATCATCCGAACATCATATCATATTATGATTCGTTCGAAGAAGACGGGATCTTGATGATTGAAATGGAGTATGCAGATGGCGGGTTAGTCAAAACTTAGAGAAAACTTTCTTTGTTCGATTTAATGAATCGATTCTTCCTTTTCAGAACTCTAGCTCAATACTTAGCAAAGAGTCAGACGTTTTTAAGCGAAGAAATAATCACTGACTTAATGGTTCAAATGTTATCAGCTGTTTCCTATTTACATGACAACAGCGTTTTACATAGGTAAAAGCTGTTCATAACTAATGTGATAGGCTTTGTAGAGATTTAAAAACAGCCAATATATTCCTGACGGCTGACGGTTTTGTTAAAGTCGGAGATTTCGGAATTAGCAAGATAATGGGAACCGATACGATCGCCCAAGGTGCAAAAACAGTTGTCGGGACCCCTTATTACATTAGTCCTGAAATGGTTATTGGAGTTGTTTGAGATTATTGAATAGCTTTCCATTTTCAAGTGTTGTGGAGAACCTTACAACCAGAAAAGCGACATGTGGGCATTAGGCTGTATTTTATATGAAATGACATGTTTACAAAAAGCATTTGAAGGAGATAATCTGCCTGTACTCGTAAATAAGATCATGAACGTGAGCTCTCTCTTCTCTCTTGCGTCAAATATTATTTTTTTCATTTCAGTGCATGTATGAGCCCATTCGAGGACCTTACTCGTCCCAAATAAAGCTGTTGGTGCGAGAACTGTTACTTAGAGTTCCAGAGAAACGTCCTACAGCCTCAGAAGCTTTGACGGTTCAAAGAGAAAAACATGTTCTAAGACAACCCATTGATTATAGATGCTCAGGCCTTCAGTGAACGTTCAACGTCCTAGATCTTTTAGACCAGTTTCAACTTTCATATCAACCGTATACACATTTTCTGCTTCTACGATAAGTCTTCATCCTGTCCAAAATTTTCCTGAAAAAGTTTCAGTTCGACAAGTTGTTCATTCTTCTTTTCTGATAGCTTATAATTGGTTTCAGATTTCTGTTAGTGAAACTCATCAATTAATTTTAACGTATAGTAACGAGGTTTATGCTTGGGGACAAAACAGTAAGGGACAATTGGGAATGGGTGATCGAGTAGATAGGTAGAAGATTCTCATGTCATATTTGTACCTCAATCTCACTTTTTCAGAAAAACTCCCTTCCTCGTACCAACTTTGCGTGGGAGAGATGTTCATTCGGTATCAGCTGGAAACGGGTTCAGGTTTGACAACTCTCAAGCATTATCTATTATTCGTTCAGCTTATTTTCGTGTGATCGAGGAGCTGTTTTAGCCTGTGGTTGTAAACGTTTCACAGGTTTGGGTAAAGGTTCAGATGACGTTCTACGACCATCTTTAGTAAATGCGCTGTTACGGTATTCATCTGAGTTATGTATCTATTTAAAAGATTTTAAGTGTAAACGTGGTTGAGTTGACATGTTCCTACGAACATTGTATAGCACTGACAGAAGAGAATGAATGCTTCGTTTGGGGCAGTGGGGAATGCGGCAAACTAGGAACAGGAGATTCGCAACATGTGTATGACCCCACGAAGGTTTGACTCGAGTTCAACATTTGATAGTAGTTGGTCATGTTAAGATAACAGTTCCAACATCTGTTGGGCGTGTCATTACAGCTCGCTGTGGCATAGACGCCACTGTTTTGTTGACGGAAACGGGGCATCTCATTGCAATGGGAAGTAACAAGTATAATAAACTGAATCTGGCTTGTCGGACAGGTTTCTTTTCCAAAGAAGAAAAAGTAAGAGATCATCACGTAACTGCTTCGCTAAACCTTTGTGTCCAGGTCAATGTTGAATGTTTTTCTCTTCCGACAGTGATGAAGACTTTCCCTGCAAGAGCCATTGATGTGGATGTTGGCAGAAACAATTTGGCAGGTTCGATTTGTTCGGGGAGGAAAATATGAAAAAAGTTTTTCGCAGTCATCCTAGAGTCAGGACAAGTCTTTTTCTTTGGTTGCAATTCTCATGGTGAACTAGGATTGGCTCATACAGATGTCGTTCCGCTTTGCCATATGCGACCTGTGAAATCTTTGTTGTCCAAGCCTTGCTCAGTTTAGTTTTTTGATCATGTCACAAAGCAATGTTCATATAGATGGCTTATTGTGGCGATGGATATAGCTTGGTTGGTACCACAGAAAGTGAGTTGTATTTCTGGGGCTCTAAGGGTATCGTGCGGTCCTCAATCGCTACGCTGCAGAACTTGGATGATACTAAAGATGTAGCGGTTGTTCAGAGAGTGTAAGAAATATATTGAATTAGAATTTATTCATCAGTTTGTTGAAGGGCGAACGAAGAGAAAGCAGTGTCTCGTTGGGGGGTGAAAAGGAAAGAGAAGTTACCTGCTGTAGAACATATTGTGCCATTACCTGCTTTAATCTTGAGGTAAAGTTTCAATGCTGATACTTCCTATATCTTTTTGAAGGTTAGACAGTGACCTATCAGAGTACAAAATTCGTTTATCAATGATAAACGGCAGAGGAGAGAATGTGTTCGTGGTGATCGATTCATCCAATAGTAAAAGGTGAGTGCAAACTCCTCTTCGTGAGTCGAACCTACATTCAGTATTATAAATACAAGTGAAAATTCTCCAAATGATAATGACTCGACTATTGTCAACACTTGGCTGAAGAATGAATTCGAAAATGCAGAAATTATTCCGATGAGTGCTCAGAAGAGGAAGGCTGGAAAAGGACGAAACTCGTCCGTTGCGAGTGATGATATAAAGATGTACGTTGAGTTTTCAGTGGTTGAATTGTTTTTTTAGACAGATGAGTGAGTCTGCTTTGATGAAAGAAATAGAGAGCCTTAAATCCGCTATCAGCCAGCAATCATCCACATTTCAAGGACAACAAGATCAGATGACAGCTCTTCAGGTTTTTCATCATTATGAGATTTTTGGTGATGCTTCTCAATTTTAGGAAAAGTTACTAGAGCTTCAAGCCCGCCAAGCATATCTGCGGAACCATGAGCCTCCCCCAGCCTACGCCAAAAAAACTATTCTCTTCCCGGAGAACGGAAGTAAAACATGTTCCATTTTGTGATTTTTGTATGGACTCTTCGAAAGTTCACTCTATTGAATGATGAAAAATAAAATCTATGTTGTATCTTCCTGGCTTCATATATCTGATAATGGTTGATTTTGGTCACGAAACTCAACCTTTCTGGACGTGTTAACTTACATGTTATCGATTGATTTCCTGTCTGAGTCCTTATGGTGTCGTTTATCCTGTGCATTTTGAAAACTCTTTGTTCTTCTTTCTCGTT